GAGCACCGGGCTGACCTGAGCAGGAAAAGCCCGTGTTGTTAACGTTCAGAAACACACAGAATCACGGGATAGGATTATCTGCAGGTGCTTTTATTGAGAGCTCTGGGAATTGGGGTACAAACCCAAATCTGACTCCGAGACAGCTTTCGAGCTGAACGTATTTTATATTCTATCGTTATATAACTTACATATTAATTATTAAACTTATATTGTTCTATTGTATACATTGACATGAGTTTCTCGTGATCTTTCTTAGGTCCCTGACCACAGTTTCTCATGATTATTCTTATGATTAAACAGTAATTATATTTTATTACTAAACAATCATCACATCTAACAATTATATCATTTATCATGTACTAGCTACACAGTGCAGTTCTAGCAAGTACTAGTTCTTCATGTACTTAGGGTATTTATTTTTCCAGGGCCTACTAAGCTTATTTTCCTGTTAACCCTAAATCCCCACGATTTTAAAACCCTTTTACTATCAGTGTGGGAAGGGAGGGGGACGGTTTCTCTGTTAGACAGGAGCGAACATTTGTCACAAGGCTCAGCATCTCCTGCCTGCCCTGGAGCTCCTCTGGGGCTCTCCAGAACTTTCGATCTTTTTTTATTACCTTTACTCATTTCCATATGCATAGAATTTTACAACAGGTTAATGCATATTCATTTTGCTGATTTTACATTGTACTTACAGCTAGTTACACTTGTACTCAGTTTTTGTCAGAAAGCACAGAAAGAACTCTCGGGTCGCTTTGCTCTGTTTGTTTAAAGGTTCGAGGCGTCTTTTTTATCTCTCATTTTTTAGTGTGAAAATTTGCATTCTTTTTCTTTAGTAATTTTGCAGTTACTAAACTGAACAGCATATTTAGCAAGCTCAAAGTGGCACATTGTACTTAAATCGAAATGGATTTCTATTCTGTTAAGTTTTTACTCTGTCTCACGGGGCAGGAGATGGTGGCACCTGGGGACAGAGGCTGGCAGCAGGGTGCCCACAGGGGCTGAGGGTCTCTCCTTTGTCCCTTTCCTGGTGGTGCTACAGGGGTCGTTTTCTGGGCCGCTCCCGGGTGCCTTTAGTTGTGCAATGTGTGTGTGGGTGACAGAAGGGCTGGGTAGCACATAGATAATATATAAAAATTAAAAATGAAATATAAAAAATGTAAATAATGAAATATAAATATACATGTAAATATAACAATAAATCTAAATCTAAATCTAAATATAAATATACATTTTATAGATATATAAAAAGAAAGTATATTAATATAATTATTATATCAATACTATTGTTATTACTACTACAATTAATCTATCAATATTATTGTACTATTATATATTATATGCATATATATAGAAACATATATCCACATATATAAAAATATATGTACATACAGAAATATATAAAAATATAGGAGAAATATAAATATAAATATAAATATAAATATAAATATAAATATAAATATAAATATAAATATAATTATAAATATAAATATAAATATAAATATAAATATAAATATAAATATAAATATAAATGTAAATATAAGTGTAAATATATGTGTAAATATATATGTAAATATAAGTGTAAGTGTAAATATAAATATAAATATATCTTTACCCACAGAGGCAGACTGACTGAAGGTGTGTTTGTTTCCTTTTCCTGGCAGGTCACTATGGAAAGGATATTTATCGCAGCGGAGGGCCGGATCTCCATAATTTCATCTCCTCCGGGTTTGTCACGTTAGGAAGAGGACACACGAAGGGTACAGTGGAAACCGTTTTTTGCTAAATAAAACTTGTTTGGAACCCGGAGCCCGGAGCCCGGGCTGGGCTGGCAGGGGGTCGGTGCTGGGCTGGGCAGGACCTGCGGGTCCTGGCAGGGCGATGCGGGGCTCTGCTCCCCCACTTTGTGTTCTCCTGCTGCTCCCAGGCCAGGCAGGCAGTGCCCGCTCCAGGGCGGGCTGCACTCCTTCCCTCTGCCCCTGCCCCTTCCTCTTCCTCCCTTCTCTCTTTAGATGCTGGGAGGAACCGGGGTGGTGATGAATATTTTATAAAATTATTTCTTTTTAGCTCCCGAAGCCTCTATTTTCTGTGTTCCTATAATCTGTGATATAATGTACAAACAGGAAAACACCGAAATACACCTATGCTGCTCTGTGTATGTTCTGTGTCCATGTACTGTATATAAAAACCTGTGGAGAGACAGCTTTAACACAAACCACCCAATGCCCAGGGGGTTCTGGTGGCCCCACAGCTGTGGCACCACACCCCGGGCGATGTTTATCGATGCTGTTGCCTGTTTGGTGAGTTTTTTCGGAGTGTCCTCCTGTCCCGAGCGCCACCGGTGCCACCGGGGTGCATGTGCCACTCCTGTGCCCTTGTGTGTCCCCAGGACTGCTGTGCTCCCTCTAGACACCAAGTACGTGGAGATCCCTCCCTAACCCAAGTCCTGTGCGTGGAGCTGTGTCCTCGTGCTCGCCTTGAACTCTCCTCTGTTGTTTCTGTGGATGACCGTGACTCACAAATTATTAAAAGACCTTGATATTTTTAATTTTTTTCTTTTTTTTTTTCTTCTCCTACATTTCCTGCACTTTTTTTCCAGTTCTCCACGAGTGTCATCCAAAGTAGTGTTGGTCCTGTAGAACTGTCAGAGAAGAAACAAATATATGTATATTGTCTGTGTATGTCTGTGTGTGCTTAAATAAAGTTTACTGAGGCTGAGGCAGCACCCGTGGGACTTGTAATCCAATACCCTGCAATCCCAGAATTGTGATCCAATACCCTGAATTCCCAGTCCTGTAACCCAATACCCTGCAATTCCAGATTTGTGATCCCACCCCTGCTATCCCAGATTTGTTATCCCAGATTTGCAATCCCATCTCTGCAATCCCAGATTTGTAACCCCATCCCTGCAATCCCAGATTTGTTATCCCAGATTTGCGATCCCACCCCCACAATCCCAGTCCAGCTCTGCACCGAGGGAAGGGAAGCAGAGAAGCTCAGGTGGGCTGGGAGCTGCCCTGGTTCAAGGAGGGACCCAAGGGTGACATTTCACACGAGCTGTCCCCATCCCAGGGGAGTTTATGGTCATGTCCTGCCACACCAGGAGCGTATTTAGGGTCAGGTAGCGAAGGTTACCCCGGGAGCGATGGTCCAAGGGCTGGGGTGTCCTGCTGGCCTCCACCAAGCCCAGGAGAACCCTGAGCAGGGCTGCACATCCAGCCCTTTGCCCCTCACCTCACACCCCTGGGGCACCTGGGGCTGCTCTCAGCTCCCTCCCAGTTTAGAACAAAACCTCCTCTCCTCCTTTGGCTGCAAGGCTCGGGGGCTCTGCTCTCCTGTGGGTGGCCCAGGGGGTTCCACAGCTCTCCCAGAGCACATTCCCAGTCCCTGGGAAGGGGGACAGTGGGCAGTGGGAATGCAGCCCGTCCATCCAGCACAGCATCACACAGGGGGTGCTTTGCAAACAGAACAAAAGGCTTTTGTTCTCTCAAGAAATGAATCCCGTGGCTGTTTGTAGCCATCAGAATGGACTGGCTTTCGAATTTCCCTTCCAGCTGCCTGTAAATCCACCTGGTTTTTGAACAGTGCTAGAATGTTCATTTCCAGTTTCTTAATGGCAAACTCCCCCACTGCTGAGTGGTGAGAGTGATGAACACCTCCCACCTGCTGCAGGACCTGCTCGTGCTCACGTGTGGCTTTGTCTGTGTCTGTGACATGACCTGGTTGTCTGTCTGTGCTGTGACAGGGGGGACGTGGGGTGCCACAAAGGACTGAGGGGCTCCATCGTCAGGGCTGTGCCTGAAATGTTTGGATTTGGGGAAATATTGTGTGACAGATTTCCTGAGTTCAGCTTCAAGTCACCACCCAGTACCTGTAAGAGAGCTTCAGCCAGGGCTTCAGATGAGTGGATTCTGTGCTCTTTTGTCCTAATCCTCTTTAGATTAGTGGGTTCTGTGCTCTTTTCTCCTATTTCTGTTTAGATGAGCAGGTTCTGTGCTGTTTTCTCCTATTCCTATTTAGATGCTCTATGCTCTTTTGTCCTATTCCTATTTGGATAAGCAGGTTCTGTGCTGTTTTCACTTATTTCTATTGAGATTAGCAGGTTCTGAGCTGTTTTCTCCTAATCCTGTTTAGATGAGCAGGTTCTGTCCTGTTTTCTCCTATTCCTATTGAGATGAGCAGGTTCTGTCCTCTTTTCTCCAATTTCTATTGAGATGAGTAGGTTCTGTAGTTTTCTCCTGTTCCTGTTTGAGATGAGCAGGTTCTGTGCTGTTTTCTCCTAATCCTGCTTAGATGCTTTATGCTTTTTTTCTCTTATTTCTATGTAGATGAGAAGGTTATGTCCTTTTCCACTTCCAGGCCTCGTGTTAGAACCTCCACTTCAGCCAAATCACCTCCCCCTGCCCTGTGGAGAGGGTTCTGCCCCTGCACTGCACAAAGCCAGTGAAGTTTCTCTCAATATTTCTCTGCACTGGGAGACACATTTTTGGTGTTTTCTCAACTGTCTTCTGTGCCGTGGCAGAACTCCAAGTGCTGAGTAATATTTAAGAGCTCATCTATTTCGGGCAGAAGACAAAGACGTGAGACATGCCAAAGTACCATGGATACCAAATCAGCATCTTCACACGTCTGACGTGCCCAGGACCGAGATTTGTGGCTCTTCCATGGCATTCCACTGGGCCATGCCTCACTGCCTGCCATCTGAGGGCTCTGGAGCCGTCCCAGTGCGTGTTCCACAAAGCATGGGCAGCTCCTCTGCTGCCAGGATGACCCAGGGATGAATCCTGGCTCTTTGGGCTGTCCAAGTCCCCGTGGTGAGGCACAAGGCAGGGCTGATCTCACGCAAGGTTAGGTAGGAGGGAGTTGGATGGTTGGCTCTGAGATAGCAGCTTTTAATTCCATGTGGAGGCAGCTGGGGGACAGCAGCACCTCTGAGGGGTTCACTGGGAGGGCACAGGGCACCTCAGCCCCCAGAGAGGGAGGGTGGATCCCACATTCCTGCGTGGGAGCAGCTCCTGCTGCTGCAGGTGCTGTGGGAGGGTTCAGTGCTCCAGGGGCGCACGTGGGAGACAGGAGCCAGCTCGCCCCTCTGTGCACCAAGCTGATTGAAATCCCAGTTCCCCAGCCTGTGCCCAGCATCCTGACCCTGCCTGTGTGCCACCCTGGCCCCGGCTGTGCCCTCAGGGCTCCCCAGAGCTCTGGCACCCACCCAGCCTGCGGGGGATTTACAGCCACAGGGACAGACAGCCCAGGGAGGGAACACATCCACTGCCACTGCCTACCCCACATCACATTGCTGAGCTTTTGGGTAAAAATGTGATTTTTATTTTGGTTTTTGGTTGGTTTTTTGGGGTTTTTTTTACTCTCAGTCTCAGATTTTGAAAATAGTTTCCCAGTGGAATTGAGCTCGCTGAGTTTCAGCAGTCTGGGACAGCAGCAGGAGCTCTGTAGAGCGTCTGATAACCTCTGGTCAGCACTCGACAGCTTCTTCGTTTTCCTGGTAGCTCTGCAAGAGTGTGAAAAACAGAGAGGTTATTTTCTGGAAAAAGCAGAATTTCCCAGTTGAACTGAGTGCAAGGGCAGGGGGAGTGAGGCAGGAGGAACAGGGGGTTCAGACTCCTCTGCAGGGTCACTTCATGGGGGAAAACAGAGCTGTTCCTACAGTCTGCTCGTTCCCTGGGAGCTCGTGCCAGACCCTGCAGGGGCTGCAGAGGCAGGAAAACCCAGGAGGAGTCAGACGTCCCCCGAGCCTGCCCAAGAACCCTTCCAGAAATGGAACCTCTCCCTCCTGGTCCCAGGCTGTGCCTGGATGCCCTGGCAGGTGTGCTGCGAGCCAGGGCAGCTGCAGGAGGCTGTTTTTATTTATTCTTGCTCTGAGGATGCTCTCGTGCAGTGCCAGCAGGGAGGACAGAGGGGAAGGGATGAGCCAGGTGTGCAGGGCAGGGGCTGCAGAGCCCCGGCCCCGTGTGCTGGCATCACCCCCAGCGTGGGCAAGGTGCAGCCCTGCCGGAGCAATCCCGAGTTCGGGGTGGCTCCGTGTGGTGGAAAAATCCCTCCTCCAAGCCGTGATTCCAAAGAAAGGCTCAGCAGTCTCTGTTGTTTGGTCTCAAGGCAGTTTATTGCAAGTTATCTAAAAGATTTTCTCCTCGGGCTGCTGTGGTTTGCTCACAGCTCAGGCAGAGGCACACACACACCCTGACATCCTCTCTGACTCCCGACTGCTTCTTCTCTCCCCCTCTGCCCAGGGCTGCTGCTGTCTTTTATATGGTACATTACGTGTTACATGGGTACAGTTTTTCCCCAATGCCTATTACCTATATTAAATGGTGCTTTTCTATCTTTTATATGGTACATTACGTGTTACATGGGTACAGTTTGTCCCCAATGCCTATTACCTATATTAAATGGTGCTTTTCTACTCTAAACCAATCTGTGAGTGCCAACATCACCAAGAACATGGAGGTGACGAAGAAGAGAGAGGGAGGACAGGACTGGCCCAAATCCCTCCATCTCAAACCTTGACCCCTGTGTACAAAACCAAAACCCCCCCTGTACAGGACTTAAAACCCCCCTGTACAGCACTCAAAAATTCTTCCCTTTACTTTGTGACTACTTCTACCATCATATCTAAACTTTTGTGACTTCTTGTTCTTCCTGCAAGGTTGGTATATCATTCCATGGCTCAAACCCAAAATCACAGCTGTTTCCAGCTGCCTGCCAGGGTCTCAAATGCTTCTGATCTGGGCCTGGAACCTCCAAAAATGTCTGAGGGACATTTGGAGTTCTGACACAACCCTGCTGGGCACAGCCAGCATGGGAATGAGCAGCAGAAGCTCCCCCAGAGCTCTTGGGCTTGTGCTTTGCTGTGCCTTGGGCACCCCAAACCCAGCCCCTCTCACAGCCAGCGGCTGGGGACCAGCGGGGCTGCCGCTCTGGTGGCTGTAAATGTGATTCAGAGATGAGTGGGAGAGAAGAGATTTATTAATTTGCTCCTCATTAGCAGTTTGAGGGCTCTGATTCCTCCCTCCACCACTGCCCTGCTTCCCTGCTGGCATGGCTGGCTCCCCGTTGCTTGGCTTGCAGCTCTGTGCTCCAGTTTCTTTCCCAAAGCGCTGGTTTTGTACCCTTAATTTGTTATTTTGGGGTCTTATATTACATCTGTCACAACTTCCTGGGCCCAGCACAGCTACAGAACACGCAGTGAATCAGCTCCAGGCTGGAATTTACTGCCTGCCCCCATCATTAGTAATCCACACTTGCAGCAGGCTCATGATTACAGGCAAAGGCAGAACTTTGAGGATCATTTTTTTCACACCTGCACCTGTAACTTGCCATGAATAGATTTGCAAAAATTGAGGGTTAGGCGTGCTGGGTCCTTAAACACTTGTTAGAAATCCCATCAATGAGAGCTGTGGAGGCCGAGCCCGCTGCATCCCAATGAATCACTTTCTGTTTATCCTGGATAATTTCGGGTGGTTTTGCCGGTGCCTCACGGTGGGTGCGCTGAAGATCACCCACATCCTGATTCCAGATGGATCCCAAGCCTTGCCTATCCCGACACCTAATTGCATTGACTCGGAAATGGGGTGATTGGGATGTGCAGAGGGGCCTGGCAGCTGGGCAGGAAGATTCCATGACGCAAAAGGACATTTTGAGGCGCTCTAAATTATTTAACCTCCCTCAGACATGGCCCGTCCATTTCTCAGCAGACCCTGGACAGCTCCGGTTTTTATAGCCCTCGGAACAACCAGGTGGGAGGAGAGGGGGAGGCACTGGAAAACATTGCAGTGGGTGCAGTGCTATGGGAAGGGATGGGGGGACACCATCCAAACCCCCTGAGTCCCTGGTGGCACCTGCAGTGAGCACTGAGGTGACAGAGCTGAGGGATCGTGTCCTGCTGCCCCAGGCTGGGCAGGAGCCCGGGCAGAGCCCTTGTGGCAGCACATTTCTGTCCCTCTCTCAGGATTTTTCATAGAGGTGCACAGAGAGAAATGAAAGAGAAAATAATTTCTATTTCTGCTCCTTGTTTTTCCCATGTGGAATGTGTGTGGAGAATTGTTTACCTGGGGTGATGGCTTGGTTGGATTCTGGTGAGGATTGTTTGAGCCTGGTGGCCAATCCAACCCACCTGGGGCTGGACCCTCAGACAGGGTCACAAGTTGTGTTAGATAAAGCAGTATGTAGTTTTAGTATCCTCCTTTTTATATAGTATATGAATGTATTTTAGCACAGTTATAATAAAGAAATCATTCAGCCTTCTGAACTGAGTCAGACATCAGCATTCCTTCCCACTGGGTTCACCTGCATCTACAACAGGTCCTCTGGCATGTGTGATGCTCAGAGTGACTCTCACATTCTGCTGGAGTCTGAGATGTGGGGAGCTCTCAGAACTTTGAGCCCGTGAGCCAAAGCTGAGAATTAAACCCAGGCTTTGATCTGAGACCTTGGGAGAGGCTCCCAAACTCAGGTGCTGGAAGCGAGAACGTGGATTTGTAGTTTAAAGCAGAAACACATTAAGCTGAGGAAATTTAGAGGTTTAGAGTTTAAGATATGGAAAAATAAAGTAGTTCCAGAGGTAAACAAGGAGTTTAGAATGCAGCACTGTAGGTTTGTGTGCCATAACATGATTGGCTAAGAAAGCTCACACTGTAGCGTGAGTCCATAAGATGAAATATTTAAGGATTGGGTCAAAAGCATAAATATCCTTGTTGGCAATATTATATTAGTCAATAAATCCTTAAAAGATCTTGTAACTGAGGGTCTTGTGACCTTCTGAGCCATGTGGTGAAGATGTGAGCAGAACTCACCCTTCCTGCCCAGGCAGAAGATAAGGAAAATAAATGGCACCATCTAAAGCAGCTCAGAGCTCCCATCTCTAACTCACTCAACATCCCCACACGAGCCAGCATGTCCCACACTGTGGGGAATGAGCACAGGGCTGGCAGCTGCTCTCAGAGCCTCCCTGCACTTGTTGTGGAGCTTGCTGCTCCTTGGACCTGCAGGGAGATGCCACAGGCTGGAGCACGTGGATCACTGCTGGGCCAGGAGAGCAGGAGATCCCTGGGGCTGCTCCAGAGCCAGCTGTGAGATGGAAAAGGAGCCTTTTGTCCCCTGCAGATCCCATTGCTCACCCATCCATTTTGGCATTTTTGACTTGGCCTGATCAAAGGGGCTTTTTTTTGGATGTGTTTAAAAAAAGACTGGACTTGGTGCTATGGTCTGGTTGAGGTGTTAGGGCATAGGTTGGACTTGATGATCTTGGAGGTCTCTTCCAACCTCCTTATTCTGTGATTCTGTAATTCTGTGACAGGACTGGGGTTGTCTCTTCTTTCTCTCTTAGAGACAGTGGAAACCAAATTCTTGTGTTCGAGGCAGGGAAAGGCCACCAGGGCCTTTCTGGGTGTGCACAGCCAGGATTAGCCGGGTGTTTTGGCATCTGGGAGCTCACAGGGCTTCCCTGGCTTTGTGTGTGACACACCCAGAGTCTGGGACTCACCTTCCCCACTGCTGAGGGCCTCCTGTTCCCATGCCAGGGTAAATCCCACAGGTTTTCACCCCACTGATTCCCATCTGCCGAGCTCATGGATGGGTTTCAATCATCGTGTGGAGCTCCAGAGTGGATCCCTCTTCTTCCTGCTGTGCATAACAGGGTGACAACGTGAATGACAGTGGCTGAGGGGAGAAGAAAGAAGCCCTGCCTGCTGCTGGCTGCCCTCTCACAGGCAGTCTGTCAGCTCTGGGGGATGTTTTGGCAGATACCTTTGAAAGCTGAGCTGAAAGCTGGGGGAGAGCTGGCAGGTACAGCCCAGCTGTCTGTGAAACTGCAGCTGCAGCTGCTTCCACAAGCTCCTCTTTGAAGAACGTGTTTTTCCTCTATTTCCGATCAAGAACTGTTGTATAAAGAGCCCTTGCTATGGTGCCACTGAGGATTCGGGCTGGTTCTCTCCCCAAACAGGGATTTAACCTCAATGCAGGCTCACCCTAGAGCTGGATCATGGGC